GGCACGCATGCACGTCTTACCGCATGATGGAATAATGTGCCCTAAGCATACTAACCCTTGGGTCGATATGGGCATCCTTTCCTCGTGTCACCATTCCATATTCGGTGCATCTACCTTTGGATGGTGGGGAGCATTCTTAACTGGAGGAGATGTGATATATTATGGCAACCACCCCAGACCAAATAGTGCACTATGGTCCACATATAAAAAGGAAGATCATTACTTACCACAATGGATCCCGATGACGTAGTACTTCCGCCGTGTGCATTTAATGCTCACCCTACCATCACAAGTTCTCATTACGTTCTCTTGGACGTACTTAGGATCGTCTAAGGTCTATTTACTAACTTCGTCATAGAGCATGCTCAAAATTTTCTGATGGTCGTCACGTTTTGCAATTAGAAGAGTAACAACGTACAGGGTGACACAAAAAAAGTGCCACCCACCTCAAGTTGAACAACGTTTTTGTCTATATGATTCCTGACTTCTTCTTTTATTATATACAAATGATCCTTCAAGTACCCCAAGAAATAAAAATCTTGCGGGTTTATGCCAAGCGAAGGTGGTCAATAACTTTGCCAGTAGAATCCAGTAGTGTACCTGCAATGGAATGGACGACATCTATATCACATCTTGTTGATTGATCATGTCATCTGAAACTTCTTGTAGAGTTGCTCCGTGAGGTTTAGTTTTACTTTGCAAAAAAAGAAAGCCAGGAATCGTGTAGACGAAAAAGTTATTCAACATGATGTGGGTGGCACTTTTTGTGTCACCCTGTACTTAACGAACGGAACTGTCGCACTTCAATCCTAGCAGGGAGGTTTTTAGAATCAGTTGAGGTGTCTGAAGATGCATTGAGAACGAGGTAGAAGTAACGGTTTTGAACTGTTTTTAACCACAATGTTAAACCGCAAGTATGAACGATCTAGTAAAAATATAGCTATCACACCAAACTAGGTGGCACTGGGTTCTTAAAAACATTGCCAAACTGGTTTTAAACTGTGTGCGAACGGAATGAACGTATCTGCAACTTTCTACGGTCTATTTGCGAACTTCATGGACGTGCTCAGACGGGAAGGTGATTTTCAAAATTTGATGGCGACCGCCATTACCCCCCCCCCCCCCTATCACACCAAACTAGTTCTTACCCGTTCTTGCCAGTCCTACGAAAACGTCGTAAGACGGGCCCAATCTGGCTGTGGTCGGGAAATATGTCTGAAATAATTAGCTGCTTCGTTCTTAAACAGTCTTCAATACGTCCATCTCGTTCGCAGTTCGTTCAGGTCGCACCACGTCGGTGTGCAACGTAGTAGAACGCGTCCCTTAGTCTAGAAGGTCAACATGACATGATTACAGAACGGTAGGGTCGCCATCGAATTTTGAATCGATTCAAAATTCTAAAATCACATTCCCGTCTAAGAACGTTCATAAAGTTCGTAAATAGACCTTAGAAAGTTGCAGCTACGTTCATTCCGTTCGCATACAGTTTAAAACCAGTTTTGAAGAACGCAGTGGCAACTTGTTTGGTGTGATAGCTATATTTTTGCTAACTCGTTCATAAGCAGTGTTGAATACGTTCTTAATCAGTTTAAACCCGTTTGCAATTAGTTCTACCTCGCTCTCAACACGTCCTCAGACAGTTCAACTCGTTGTTAAAACGTCCCTAGTAGGATTGAAGTACAAGGGTTTCGTTTGTAGTACGTCGAGCTCGTCGTTAGTACGTTGTCTCTCGTTCTAATTGTAGAACGTGACGACATAGAGAACTTTTTGAGCATTGTCTAAGTTCTAGAGGACCTACCCGTTCGAGTACGTTCGATGAAGTTTGTAAATAGATCCCAAACGGTTCTTAGAAGGTCCAGTCCGTTCGTACACAGTTGAAGCCCGTTTTCGAGATCGTAGTGAGAATTAGTTTGGTGTGATAGTAGGGTTAAGAGTAATTAGATCGCGTGGTAACGTACTTAAACGAAATGGCCTGCTAGACTAGGAACGTAATGACTGTACTTCGACCCTACTAGGGACGCGTTAACGACGTTGTGCAATCGCAGGACGTCAGTACACCCAAATGGTGCGAGCTGAACGAACTTCGAATGAGATAGACGTATTAAGACTGTTTAAGCTAATTTTTAAGACATATTCCCCGACCATAGCCAGATTTAGCCCGTTTTACGACTGAACGGTTGAGAACCAGTTTAGTGTGATAGGGGGATACCCAAATGTCACCGTTCGTATCTAAAATGGATGGACATCTTACAATGTTGTAGTAAATGCAATCTACCGTTCGTAACGTTTCTTAGAACCTTGGAATTATTGTCCCTACATTATTATTCAGAAATATAAGTTCGATGAGCTATAGTAGCTATATTTCCCTGAGTAGATATTTTCGGACGGATATACATAAGGGTTTTGTACTGAGAGGTTTTCGAAATAGGGTATATCCTGAGGGATGTATTGAAATCTTTCCGGGGGACCGAAGGGAAATGTGTCAGGAACACATAGATACTCGGATGATCTTGATTGGACATCAGGGTTCAGAGAATTCGTAATTTTACTGAGTTGCTTCACGAAAAATAAACAGGGTTTTAGGCCACCTTAAGCGGTGGAAGGTATCGTTAAACCGTGCTGTCTACGGATGGTATATGAACAAATGATCATACTCCAGAGTTTGCATGTCATACATGGCTGATATACGAGGGTTGATCCAAAAGTTCCGAACCGTTTGCTCTAAAAATGTTCACGATTATTTATTCTGTTATTCTTGAAAATGTGTCCTTGAATATGAGGAAAAAGAAGAAATCTGAATTTTGGCGCCAGGAGCAAGAATGCAATCAGGGCATCGAATCGAATATAAACAATGCTATATCGAATGTGAAAGTTTGGAAATCGAAAGTACAAGCAAGTGCAGTATGTTACGCGGTATATGGCATACATTCATGGTTGCGCGGTATTTGTGATACGGGTGAATATGCCATACTCACCTGCGGTATATGGCATATTCCGCAGGTGAGTATGCGATATTCCGCAGTGAATATGCGATACATTGATTTCAGTGAATACCCGATACTCACCTGCGGAATATGTCATACTCACTTGCGGAATATGCCATATACCGCAGGTGAATATGACATATACCGCAGGTGAAAACGTGATACAGAAAGCCTTGATTTGATTGGTTGCGAGAATCGACTCTAAATGTAAAACTACGCTGTATTACCATTATAGTTAGTGCGTCGAGTACTAATATATGAATCCTGGAGTGATTGAGTAAGTTTATTACGCGAGATTGGTGACTGATACTTCTGCTAAGTTAATATATTCGATACACAGAGTACTGTTGATTCAGTAATCATTACAATAATTAATAACGTTTTACTATTTCGTTCAATCGATGCAATTGCCAATTGCGTACTTCCGTATCACGTTCTCATTGGTTAGTTTGTATGCCATATACTGCAGGTGAATCTGTCATACACCGCAAGTGAATATGCCATATTCGTTGCGGAATATGACATATTTTTGTATCGTGTTTACCGCGTAACACAGTATATGCGATGTGAAATATATTTGTGTGATTTGGATTTAAATATATTTGATGCACTATACTCCATATGTTTGATTCAAGGTTCAATAATATTCGCCTTAACATTTCTATTTTATTTGAATAAGTGAATTTGATTTTAAATTGAATATTTTTTGTCAAATGTGATTTTTTGAAAATATCTAGTACTCGATTTACGTAAAAATATATTCGATTTTCGCATATAGGCCTAATATTGTATCGAATTTTGATACAAAAAAATACACCATAAACAATGCTCGACAGGAAACATTTATGCCTTTACTGGCTATTTTGCTTTTAGAAGTATACATTTAGGTAGTAAGCTTGCACCCAAATGTTTATTGGTTTGTGAACAAATTGAAATTACTTCTTTATAATTTTAATATTTGTTGGATTGTTAAATAATCCACATTATATATCATGCACATGTACAGGTTTTACCAAAATTATGGATTTTCATCAACGATTGTGGTTTCCAGAAAACCATGAGTGACAGACAAATGAAACTTTGCATACTATTGCAGAATCAGTTTTAAAAAAATCTCAAAAATTATTATTATGACTGAGATAAACTGAATGAGTAATTCAACGACGCTTTAAACCTTTTTCTTTTCAGGGTCAAAAACGGAAAACGAAAAGAAAAAATAAATTTCAATTTGTCCACACCTAATACTTTTGGGACGGGCCAACATTTACAGAAGCAGTAAACTTTTAACAGAACATACTATATTAACAGTCATGTATTTCGTAGAATAAAATACTAAAGCACAGTCCAACAATACAAAATATGCATGGTGTATATACATTGAATATATGAAAAGTGATGTGGTACATATGTCATTGTCTATATTTATTTTTATTTACACTTACGTATTGATATATAAAAATACGATAGTTGTGACTGCCGTAGGTCATTTCAATATCTTTGCCCACATTTAGTATTGCTAGACAGACCAATGCACAAACTCTCAACCAATCATATAATTTGGTAAGTTACCAGTGCAATATGACAGATTCAAACACGCCAAGTGTGTCTCAACCAATCAGTTTAAAGCATTTCATTGTGTTAATTTATTGATGTATGCATGAAAATGATTTTCCTGTGCATTTAATTTTTGATAAATGCACCGACTGAGCAGTTCTATTCTTTAAAAAGGGGTGACAGCATATCATCCGTGTGTTCATTTTAGTCAATGCAATAATTTTCAAACTCAGTTTTTTATAATTTTTCTGCATCAAATTAATTTTTCGACAAAGAAACCCTTCTCAATAGTTTTCATACGGATATCAATTGTAACCGAATACCCCTATTTAGTATTTCTGAAGAATAAACTTGTCCAAAGACACCTAAAATTTAATTTTTTCAAAGACAACAATCGTGTAGATGTAAATGGTAAACTGTTCTACTTCATCATTGACGAGAGTCATGTTTGAATTGCAATAAAGAATCATGTATTTTTCTATATTGGAAATATAAAAACATTTGTGTGATAAAGCACCCAGGCTTCGCCTTTTCGCCTTCGTGCATTATGTAGATTGGTTAGTACATACACTCATGCGTTTATATTTCAATATAGAATGATACGTGATTCTTTAATAATCGGCTCTCAATAATTGGCGAACTCCTTCCTGTTATACGGCTAAATATCCTCATGTATTTTCATGATTTTCTCTTCAATCATGAATTGGCAACAAGCATCAATATTACATTCTGTATTCTTCTTGACAATACCATGATCTATAAGTCCAAAATAACCCACTCGCTGTACATCCAGTACATTATTATAGATGTCGAGATTGTTCCTTACAATAAGAACTCACACTCGTGACAACTACAACCCTGTTCATCCTATGCTGATTATTTCAATTCTACTAGATTTGAGAGACTACATAACGTGGATGGGATCTCTCAATGTAATACAAACAATCTTTGGATAAATAATAACATCCGAAATTTTGCTATCTTCGCTTCTGCGAAGTGTTTCCATCAACATCGCAAAATCATCCACGATGATCGCAAAGAACAGCGGAACATTATCCACTGTAAGATACATCCCAAAATCGTCAGGATGTCAAATCATGGTATTTCTGGTCCGAATGGTATCCTACAAAACATTGCCAATAAAGCTGTTATACTTGACAGTAAAAATACCCAGAAAAAGATTCTATCTACACACTTTGCCAAAAGCTCCCATTCATACATAGTCCTGGGGTCTGGCTCCTTTTTCATTTTATCTGCCTCTGGACAACATCTTCCAGCGCACGTACAGGAGCATGTTAAAGCATCCATTTCACTAGTATCTGATAAAGTATCAACTTCAAAGTCTGCTCTGTGAGATTCACATCCGAGTTTAGTGTCATTATGGTTCTCAAGGTTACGGAGGTTGTTCTCATTTCTGATCTTAATGTCTAATGAGGTACGTGCCCTTCCAACTAGGAGGCGCATGATAAAGCGCGGGACTTTTCTCCCGGAATCTTTTCGCAAGTAGATATTTGTTACTATGACAGCCATCACTAAAGCAACAGACACCATCAGCATCGTAGTACCATATAAAATCCCTGCAAGGTAAATCACATATCCCAAATGATTAAAAACTATTTAAACTTAAACACGTGTTTCCCTGACACTGACCACCTTCTCATTTTTGGAATAACGTAAAACTAATCTACATGAACAAACTGTGTTTTGTGAGCTATTTAAAGATGGCGTGCTATGATGGATGTCTTCAATTTCCGTAACACACGGTGCCCTCTGGTAGCTATGCTTATATTTTCCTGATAATGTATTTTTAGTGCTCCCACAACATGAGCATTTTTCTAGCAGCCCATTTAAACCTGAAGGTTTCGGGCATGACGGACATTTTGATTTAAATCCGCACAAGCAACTGGTAACTGCATTTAATAGGCGATAGCATTTTTCTCCATGTTTTACACCATTGACTAATGCCGTTGAAGATGCATCATTTTGTGTCACTTTCTTGGGTTTGCCATTACGCATGCGCACTGTTTTATAGTATCTGTTAGTACTGACTACAGCAAGGAAAAGGCCAACAGAAGCCATGAATATAGTCGCCGCATAAAGAGCTCCTAAAACAAAAATGAGTTGCTAATGCAAGCCACCTATCACACATTGAACATTCATTGACAAATATTTATTATTAAAATATAAATCAAACTTTGATATTTGACTAACTCGAAATTGTGCTCACAATCAGGCTATATTGCACCAACGTTGAAACATCGAGTACTTATACCATCAAACGACGCGGCTAAAACAACGAAAAGATAACTAAACAAAACTAATGCAAACGAGCTAAGCACTAATCGACTATTACCACGACTTCCAAGGAGGATTGGCTCCAAGGGTCTCAACTCGATATTTGACCTTGACCTTAATCGATGACAACATTGAAAATGTCGTTATTTTTTATAATTACTGACAATCAATTCATTAATCAGTGATCCAAAAGATTTGAACTAAGATCTTGATCACTTTTTGTAATTGTGTGTTTTGAATTTTTTGTTGGGAAATAAGATCTCGCAATTCAAAAGACCACGTGAAGTATAGCAAGTGATTTTAGACGGTCATATCTTTCACCATGAGTACTTTCTGGGCATAAATACAGTGGTTTTTATTAAAACAATATATTTTCTTTTAAGTGAAGTACCCATGATGATAAAAATATAAATCAAACAATTCGCAAAATTCAAAAAAAATTCAAAATATTGAACCTATTTACTCAAAAGATGATCTTCTTTTAGACATGACTGTCTAAAATCACTTGCCATAGTGCACGTGGTCTTTTTGAAATGAATAATAGCGGACGTTTTGATTTTGAATTTTGTATTCACGACATGACAACGCGATGATAAGGTCAAGGTCATAACACTATATATGGCATGAATATCGGTGTTGCACTCCTAATCCTCCTTGCACGACTTCTAAAAAGTACTTGCTAAAATCGCAACATTTATGCATATCATTAACACTGTACAGCGGCAACAACAAACAGCAACGAAAAGGTTTGCACTCCTAATGAAGAAAGACATGCGTGCAATCTGCGTTAAGTTCAAGCTTTCCATCAGTATTCATCAGCATTTATCCCCGTGACAAGGCATTTAGTGAAAGCATTAGTTAAGGAGGCCAAAGCAGAGTAACTTTTTATCTCATTTGCACGTGGCATTAGTGTGTCCACCATAACTGTTACCTAATTGGACTGTCTTTAACATGCATAGTATTACTATAGGTTAATGGGAAGGTGGTCAGAACGCAGAAATACGTCATAGATTCCCAGCATAATGCCAAGACTGGTGTTCATAGAAACAAACACAATATACACACAAAAACATGCAAATGACACAAAAATAACTGATGATGTGCCTAAGTCGGTTGCAACAAGTGTGTTAGGAGATTCTACATGTGTGTATGATAACACTATTGAACGACAACTCGCAAACGAAACAGTGTTAACAGTATTCAATATGAAATGTGAAGTCAGTGAAATAAAGGTGTAGTGAAGAGTTTTAACACTTGACAAAAATGCTTTCAAGTAGGACGAATACCTACCGAGAACGGGTATAGCATCGGGTGTTGGTGGAAGGGTTTCCCCGACCAACAGAAGAAACACAACGAGGGCTAGCAGGATTGTAATTTCCAAATTCACCTTCTCCCCTGATTCAACTGGTAGGAAAAATCCGAGAAATGAAGTTCCATATATGAGCACACATGGAAATATCAAATTTACAATGTAGAATAAACTCCTTCTGCGCATGTGTATAGTAAACGTAACATCCGGGTATGGCTCCTCACAACATGCGTAGAATTTCTCGTGACGTTCAACAGATATCCTATCAACATACCATTCTTGATTCTCAGAGTTGTAGTAGACCATATTTTTGAAATCTTTATCCTTTATGAGATTCAGTTCAAATCCACTATATGTCCAGGATATGAATACTATACTGCATTTCTGGTGATCGAAAGGAAAATATTGTACATTCAAGGTACAGTATATTTTGATGACCGCCGGGAACATCCATAGTATATGGCCGTTGGATGAAATAATGGCGTTTGTATTCATAAAGTCGTCAAAGCTATCGTCTGCACTGAAACATAAGAATATACAAACGTTTATAATATTATAAACTTGTTGTATATTGTAACATTGACTGAGCTTTTACAATTTACATTACCATTTATTTGTAAATGCTTATACATAGGCTACATTTGTCTGCCGAACTTACAAATTGAAAATGAAAATATCAGGGGTCCAGATTCTGTTTGCTTTAACCCAAATTGTTTTAGTTCCTCCAAACTCCGTTTCGTTCCAATGCAGATAGTCATCTCGCCATCGCTGAAAATATTTTATTTAATCAATTACAATATATATAATGAAAATAGTATAAAAATGCACTGGATATATGCAATCAAACAATCGCACTTATTCTCAAACAATACTTTTATGATGGCACATGCTGCTGCAGTGGCAAGTTTCATTTTCACCTTTACATTACGGTTTCAAATTTTGAACGAGAATTGATAAAAATTTAAAATAGAGACTAGGAGACACTGCAATAATATGTAATTAATATATTGTTAAAAAGTTCAATGCGACTCTGCGATGTATCCTTGAAATCAAATCAACGTCGTGGAAATTATACTGTCAAATCCAAATACCCCATTCTACCTAGGAAAATTAGATACTATGGCAGCCATAAAGTTCTTTTATGTTAAGAACTTTAATGAGTTTTGAACAACTAATGGCTTTATATACTACATTTATTAGGGTAGATTGAATGAGATATCCTTCATGTAATCAAATTTTACTGGATATTTAATAGTATAATCACTGGTGATCCACTCGATTACGCTGGTTACCAAAACGAACCGTTTTGGTAACAAAATGTCGGAACGTCGAAGGTACGATTTTTCTTTTTTCCTTATATCACGCGTTGTAGGCAGAATCCCCACGACGTTTTTTCTCACAAACGTATGTCAGTATCATATGTTATAGAAAATGTACATGTTTGCGAAAAAATAGCTCAGAAGACAACAGAATCGTCGATTTAATTCGTCACTTAAGTTACATAAACGGTTTGGGTTAAAAGTGCAGATCTTAACCGTTTTTCGAAAAACCGTTTATGTAACTTAAGTGAGTAATTAAATTGACGATTCTGTTGTCTTCTGGGCTATTTTTTCGCAAACATGTACATTTTCTATAACATATGATACTGATATACGTTTGTGAAAAAAAAAGTCGTGGGGAATGCGCCTACAACGCGTGATATAAGGAAAAAAGAAAAATCGTACCTTCGACGTTCCGACATTTTGTTACCAAAACGGTTCGTTTTGGTAACCAGCGTAATCGAGTGGATCACCAGTGATAATCTTACACGGATTATACGGGACATCATCTTTCAGAGATTTATTTTCAAATGATTTGTTTCGAGCCAATCAGAACACGCTATTTCATGTAACCTGCCTGTAACAATTGCAACAATAGCAAGATGTCTCGTTGTTAAGTTGGCTATTCCATTCACTCCATCTTGTATTTACTATCAAAGAGCAGATGGACGGGAGAATGTTCATTGTAAATAAGTTCTTTTAGGGATTTTGTTTCTTTGAGATGATTCTGTCGAAAATATTTTGCAATGTGTGAAAAGTATCTAAGCCCAAGACACTCAATGCATTGTAATATGACCATTCCTTTCAGGCGTTGTTTTCTAAAACTAACACTCGATGATGGCGCATCCCGTGCAAATTTTGAAAAGCAACACCTCAATGAATGGTCATTCCACATTGCACTGAGTCCAAGACTTAAATCATTATTTTGAAGTTTGATACTTTATCAGATACTAGTGAAATGGAAGTCACTACGATGTCATGTCAGCGCATGCAATTAATGTTCTTTGTGCTATCTAATCAGTCGTGAATCTAAAACAGGAATGTATTCTTGATGTCCATTAGTAAAACCAGTTGTCACTAACTATTTCATTTGTAAATATCGGTCCATTTGATTTATACGTTCAGTGTACCATGCGATTACTAAAATATGGAATAATTTCATTTAATACAAAGTACTATTTGTATACATGGATACAAAACTTCTGTTCTTCTGAGTAGTTTGATTTAGAGAAACAACGAGGTTTGTGGAAATGGGTTTCTAATAGAACAATAGGATGAGACAAACGGTGGGACCGACCCCTGGGTTGCAACTGAATATAAAAAGATTACATGGACATGTTCTCTGATCATATAAACAGCATGTCTGATCCCATACATCATTGAGTCAGTTTCATACCTAATGAAATACGAACATAAACGTCGCTGTGATGTAGTGAAGGGATTTGATGGATTCACACAAGCATAAAATTAAGTATTGGAATCATGGCAGATCCTGACAGACGATTTTTCAGCTTTTGATTCTAAACTGTCTATACATTTCATTGTGAACTAAATACTGTGAATAGACATACACAGTGTCTGTGTTAATCTGACCAACTCAGTAACTACATGTAGCGTTAGACCTATTCAGACATTGTGATAAACTGGTCAAAATGGATGTATAGGCCTACTCAGACCGTGTGATAAACTTGTCAAACCTTGTGATAAATTTTAAACTTGTCAAATGGGTGTCTAGATCTACTCAGACCTTGTGACAAACTTGTCGAAATGGATGTCTAGGCCAACTCAGACCTCGTGGCTTAATTTGTCAAAGTGCATGTATTGACGTACTCAGACCTTGTGATAAAGTAGTCAAAATGGATGTATAGGCTTGTGGTAAACTTGTCAAAATGGATGTCTAGGCCTACTCAAACCTTCTGATAAACTGGTCAAAATGGACGACTAATCCTATCCAGACCTCGTCGTAAAATGGTCAAGCTCACTGACTAGACTACATCACTGACCCCAGCTACAGTGTAGTGACTTTGACGTACCGTCAAAACAACATTTTCGCTTGACAACAAAGCCAAAAATTCGTTGCTTAAAATTTTGAGGAACAAAAAAGGAACATATTCCTAACATCATGGCGGCTAATGTTGAAATCAATAGAATTACAATTCGATACAAAACATGGCCCTATTCTGGAAAAAATCTAAAAATCGCCAAAGTAAAAAGTCATCAAATGTCGCAAATCAGATACATCTCCAAAGGAAAAGTGCAGTTTAGCCCAAGATGGAGTGTCCGCTGTTATGTCATTATGACATTTCGATCGGAAGTGAATCAACAAATCCTTGTATAATTCAAGTTTTTATATCTATGTGATCCCTATATATCGGAAGCATTAGGATCAGGAGTGGGTCTGAAGCTTCCCACAGGGTATATTTATGTCAATATGTTACCATACGCCGTTGTAAAACTTTCGGAACAAAACCATAATAGGCCTTTTGGTGAATCAATTAACAACTTTAAACCATTTGAACGAGACATTTAATACCGTGTGACATTTAGAAGTTACTTATTATTACTGATTATAATCATATACAGACGTTAATTTATTCGATCGAACACTAAAAAGCATAAACTGTGAGTCATTTGGGAAAATTGAACAAGGAGTTTAATCCCAACTCTAATAAAAAAGTAAAACGAATTCTTACCAGACGCAATGAGACAAGGGCAGACAGCGTTTGAAACTTCTCATTCTGTAAGAAATAAATAGTACATTTACATAATTCCTTAGTCACAAGACAACCGTATGGCGACCGTAGCTTCCCAAAAGAAATATGCAGCATAAAGTGTAGGGTTAAGCAGAACGATGTTGATTTTCTATATCGATTTTGTGAAGCTACGGTCGCCGTACGCCAGCCGTAGAGCAAATGTGAAGCTTACGCGTCCATCATTGTCATTAAACGATTACAAGTGAAAGTGACCAAACATATACGTATTCTCCACAAACTTAAAATGATGTGGCTTTGCATAAGACATACATCGAAATCAGTATAGTACCATTTACAAAATATTGAAATAGCTGCACGTGAAGAGCATGTATCGTATCTTGACTACATTTTAGTGAGCGCATGCATTTTCGTATCATATTCTTAAACTGTTTTAAAAAATGTAAACAATTACTTTGATAGCTTATCAATAAAAATGTGCTAATAAATAAACCAGAGGTACTCGAAGGCAATTCTACCACATTAAAAACTGGCTTTCAAAGCCGACTTCTGTAGTATGCATAAGAAGCTGGCTTCTGTGGATGGCTATCTGGAGAAATGTATTGTTATACTTCTACACATTTCAAGACGCGTAAAAAGTAGATTATTAACGCGTCAAAGATATTCACACCGTAACACGTAAATAACGTTAACGTAATTTAATCATTCTAAGTAGGTAAATCGTGCCTAGCTGGCTTGTTGTAAATGAATCTTTCCAATTAATAAACTGATTCCAACTTGGAACCAATTTTGAAATAGGAGCGATCCGCCTTACGGAACCGGAAATACGTTGTATAATCAGTTCAGAACTGATCTGTGAATGTTTATCATCAGAATGGTATTCACATCTAACAAGTTGGTCTAACCTTATAGTTTTACAAATAATTGGCGAACTCGAAAAAAAATAGGATGAATTCAAGATTGTAATGTTTTTCAAAACCTAAATGTGGACGGAAAATATTTAAGAGATGCATTTGTATGGGCAATTGGTCATACGTACAGGTTGATGTTTCGATTTTATATGCAAGCTTAAATTTTCTAGAAGCCAGCTTTACATGACTTCTCAAAACTGGCTTCAAATGTACCACAGAAGCCGGATCTTTAAAAGCCGACTTTAAAATGTGGCTTTGCATATCTGCCATCGACCTTTTCTCAAATAAACGCAATACAAATAAAACTGCATTAGGCTATAGGATATTAATTAGATAAACGTGTTGTAGGAGGTTTTCATTAAGTACATCAAATGTCCCGGGTGACGGATAGCAGGAAAGGTTTTTGCTATTTACGAACGTTTGCATGAATCAATTTCTCCAAGCCAATTCCCCACACTTTGAATAAATCGAACATGTCGTAAAATTACTTATGAAACTTCATGCCATTCTACTTCCGATGTGTCAGAATACGACAAATCTATCAATGACAGCTACAGAATACATTTGAATAAAAAGCCAATACCGTGTAGTGCATTTAACAGCGCTCTAGCGACATGGTTAGTCCAGTATGTTTCTAAAATTTTGTGTCGACCTTTACCTCTAATCCACGAATGGTGACTTAAAATGAATACAGATTTTGCACGCTATCCTTCTTGTTACAAAACTCAATTTTTCAATATTTTCAACTATTGGATAATGTATATTTTAGCCAGACGACTGGTATAAACCAGACTGGTAAAACCTTATGACTTTGAGTGCCAAGATGCAACGGTGTGGATGTACGAAGAGTTTAGGAGCATCTTACTTCCCGATCAATCAAAAAGCAATGGCCCCAAAGAGACAACCTTTACGAAATGCATCAATTTATTATACTCATCTTTGGACATTCATCATCAAGAAAGCACGACTTCCTTAGAATTTGCCAATTTACGAAACTTTCTGCGAGTAATTGTGCGGCCTGGCACATAGGCAAAAACATTTAAATGTTAAAAATATCAAACGGGTAAAATCACTGTACTTAACGATTGAGGAAAATTCTTAAATTAACATATGATATATGTTGTGACCTCTACAAAGTACTTGTATTTAAATTAAATTGTTAATTAGTCTTTTGATTTTGTTTATATAGCAGCACACTTTATTGACAAGCTGTCGTTGTGGTATTCTATGGTTGGGTTAAAGTGGCATGAAAGACTAGAGAGCGTAAAAGATTGGACATTAATATTTTTATTGCAATGTCAAAACTTTCCGAGAAGTTATAATTTGACATTTGATCAAAAATAGAACTTACCGAAGACTTTTGATACTATGATATCCAAAGTTCATGAGGTTTGAAAAGGGAGTCAACTCTTTTACCAGATAACTTAAAAAAATAAAAGGATTATTCTGAACTTAAATCATTACATCAAACTTTTTTCATAAAATAAGCATAATATGGAATGCAGAGACAAAATAACTTTTGAATGTTTTTGAAAACCCATTCCTATCTGGTCTCTAGTCTTTGTTACCCCTTTATCATGCTCTGGGATATTTTGCAATTTATCATTACCCTACATCTTCCTTTATAAATTAATGCATTTTGCTAAGTGAATCCCACACCCTCCAATCACATTCCCATCCCGAACTCTTACTACTCTCTCGTATATTACAATTAAGGTACATGTAGATCGAGTTGGGAAACTTGCAAACTGGCTACCTTTCGCATTTGTTTGACTTAGCTCGTATTAGCAAATACAACTTTCGGCTGTCGGATTAACCTACTATTTTATGAGCAATTCATTTAAATATGAATACTATCTGCCATTATTCCTTTCATATTTAAATGAGTTGGTCAAATAGTAGGTTAATCCGTTAGCCGACAGCCGAAAGTTGCATTCACGAATTCAAGCTACGGCTCTTTCTGTAATTTAATCTCTGTGGTCAGGGGACATACTGGAACTTGCCCAACAGTTGTATTTTGTTTAATGTACATACAATTACAATTTATGCTACTTCTATTTGTCTCTTTATAATTCTGGTCTTACACGAAGGACGCGTGCTTTGGTAATTTCCGATATTTCTAATATGTTCGAAGTTATCATGCATAATATAATTGTCATCTATATAATCTGAGGCACTTCTTAATTTACTCACCGTATCCAATATATGGTACAATGACATTGCTATGTTCGTCTCAATCGTATTGTTATCATATCTTACAGGTCGACTAGATTTGTCGTATCCAACAAATATCTTTCTCTTTATCATGTACTCGTTTGATCTCTCTCCGCGAAGTGGGTCGTTGCTGTTGATTGGTTGATAGTAGGGATTTGTTTGGTACTTGTTTTTCAAGTGGGTGTTGGTTTTACTGGCAACTGAAACAGAAAATTTAAGAAATATCTTACTTGTCATGTGATACGCATTTACATCACAAAACATGTAGCAGTATTGTTCTTATATAAACAGAGGTATTTTACTATTTATCTGATTTATGAGTGATGCGAGTTTTATATACATTATTTATCATTGGTGATTAGTATAGATGTGCAGTTTACATATGTTGAGTGACAGAATGACTTGAAAATCAATTGTCGTCGTTTACAATGTGACATACATTTCTTTAGAAATTAAGGACAACATGACCTCATTTTCATTTCAAATATGAAGTAGAATCAATTCCATACTTTTCACGTTTAAATTGTCTTAGAAACCGTTTCTTGGGAGCTGACTTAATCAATACGGTTACACACATTGAATGTAAACTGAAACAATATATGCAAGAGCAGGACTAAGAATTATCTACCACGGGTCTGATATGTCAAGTCTTGTCAAGATTAGCTAACCTATCGTGGCTGACTGAATAAAAAGGAAATTAAGTTTAAATGCAGTATAATTTCAAATTCTCGATTTGAACTGGTTAACAAACTAAAAATAAATGTTGATATCGATGTGTGTTGCGTTCCCCATGGACGATTACATGTAGTGAACGGTGCACTGGCAATTCGGTCGCTTTAATATAATGTTGATGAAGAGCTGTGTCATTTGCGTCTTTGTTTTCAAACTCTCGAACCATACGTACATGCACTGTCCATTGTACCTTGTGGTATGCTTTGAATCAATAACTAAGCATGTTTCCCGATGGCATGAAATATTATTAAAAGTCAAGGGGGTGGTTTTGCAACATCAATGTTTCATTGATCAAATTACAAAATGAAAACATAGCGATAACATCCCACCATACCTGAAATATGTTTACGCCCAAGGGAGTCTATTTTGGGCGTTATAACAAGGATATTCAAGAAGCAAATATTTAGACATTGTTCGATGACCTTTAAACTGAAGAGTTGATTTTTGTGGTGTCTGTACTGTAGCTGACGATAAGGAGTGAACCCTGTGGGCGATTTTGATTATTGGTGGAATTGGCTGCCAGGCTTGTTTTAAAGTTTACAGAAGTGTTCCCACATTTTTTTAATAATTCAACAACATTTTCTTTTAACGTACAGCATAAGAGTATCTACAGACGTACATTACCATCCGTTTATAGTGGGTAAACGGTGGTATATGTAATATCATATTTTCTATATAAATACTAAAGTTCAATAAAATCTAAAGTTTGAGAGAAAACCAAATGTAAATTTTGAGACATTGTTCGATGAAAAGTACGTGAAAACCGCTAAACTTTTTCTAAAAATTGTACAACATATTCTTTGAACGCATTATTTAAAGAAACTAAGGAGAGATGTATTTTGGAAAAATTGCCTCACACAAAAATGGCGGCCAAAAGAAGGTAAAAAGTGCACTTCTCAGCGGATTTTTTCTATTTTTAAAATTTTTAAGAAACATTTTTAAGTTATGAAGCTCCTTTGTTTTGAGGGTTTATATATTATAGTGATGTTTTGAAAAAATTCAGAAAGGTTGTCTATGAACCTTTCACACAGTATCCCTTTTCTCAGTTTTCTGTCACACATTCAGAGGGTTAGAATTCCTATTTCAATATTTTTGATTCTTTTCCAATAACCATAATAAACTTATTAGTCAAATGAATAATGGATGGAACTAACATGAGAGAAAGTCAAACCAAAATTATGAATGTAGATTGTCAAAATACGTATTAAGAAACATACATGAATGTGCTTCCAGTTTCGGCCATCTTTAGAACTTTCCCTTCACCCTAAGAAGATACACTGCGCGCAGAGCCTAGTTATAAACTACACGAATCTCACTTTTAAGAAGCGAAGTCGAACGAATGCAAAGGGTAGAGGAGAAGAAGAGGAAGAAAAGAAGAGGACGGCTAGGATGAAGCGATACATATCTAAATTTATATGTCCCCTAATATTTTAAAATTATGGTTGGATGTTCATATGGGCTTTAAGGATGTTATGTATATTGTATAGCTTAGGAATGGGTTGATCAATATTTTACAAACATCCAGCTTTATTTCTATTGAGTTGAATACCTGTGCATCTTTCACAAGTGATATTCCAAGAAGCCATCTTGTGAGTGTCACATGTATTTACCGTTCGTTAACTAGGGTCCGAATCGAATTCGAAATGACTAAGTTACGAATTGAATTGGATCTGAATTGATTAGGGTCCGAGTTGACTTGGGTTTGAGTTGACTTTGGTTCGCGCTAACTACACACCCAAAATGCAATCTGATCTTCGACGCCCTTTCGGTGCCAAATTTTGGTGTCAAAAGGTTTTGGTGCCGGAATGGTGCCGAAACAGTGCCGGAACAGCGCCGAATTTTTTCGATCTCGAAACGGTGCCGAATTATATTAGCTGTGTAAGAACCGTTTGAGCTCACTACTATAGGAACCTTTTCGAGTTTCAGTATCTTTAAACCCTTTAAAGGCCCCATGTAAAGTTTAAACCACATTGGCTTATATTGTAGTCTTACCCAATGTTATCAAAGTGTGATATGTGAAACTTTTTTTTTTGATAGACTTTTTGTTCCAAAATTTGTGAATTTATTTAAAACCAACTTTTAGAGGTCACTCATATCTTCTAATTAGCCACAATTCATACCAATGTATAGCATTCATCCTCCCATGTTTTTTGCAGAAAAAATTAAGAAAATCGGTTGATAAACAAGCGAGAAATGAACTTATCAGTGCATGAAAATGGTTCTGAGAAAAATGCATTTCAAAATTTTAGTTCTCATAGAAACCAATGGTACAATGATATCTAAAACATAATTTATTCTTCCTTTTAACCTGGTTAGACAATCAACATTGGTTTTTTATGAAAAGCTAGCATATTTAGAAAAGATTGACATCGAAAAAAAAATTCAATTTTTTTCAAAAAGTTTTTGTTACCTTAGTGACATCACTAATGTTTCAAAATATTTTTGATAAGCTAAAACATTGAAGTGGCCCATTAAATATGACATTTTAGTATTGAAATAGTGTGTCTTTTGTTCAATCTTTGCATTTGTGTTAAAAAGATAATCTTTTTTGAAATGCATTAAGAAATGTTTGATGATTAAGAAATTTCAACTTTTTTTGAAAAATGGCGGGAAATTTGAATATTTGAGAAATGAAATGCTCACAACTTTTTTTTCAAAAAAATTTTTTTGTTCAAAAATATCTAAAATCACTTTTTAAGTCCTGACAAATAGTAAATGAATGATAAAAAAATATTTTCAAACTTTAGACGGGGACTTTAACATCCGCAGTTGTGTAGTTTCAGTTTCATCGTGACTTTTGCAGGAACTCAAGATCAGTACATATAGTCACTAATCATACATGATTGATCATGAAAATTATATCCATCTTGTATAAACTATGTTTGCAATTCATTTTGCCATGGCTAATCTTGTGCTCAATATCAACATAACTCATATAATGATGATGTATGAGATACAAATATAAAGAGCTTGGTCACATCTGTGATTTCAGTGCTCAATCGGAGAATCTGAAAAATTATATAACTTATTAATTTGATAGCATATCCAAAATCTAAGACGTTTCATTTATCATCAATTTGAGTTAATATTTTTGAGCTATTTTTTGAAGATTTAATTCTATTCAATTATCTGTTATTATGTGTCCAACTTCTCTGAAAATTGAACATACCAAAATCACAAATTCAGTCGAGATGAAAAATGATAGTTAAACCAGAAATCCATTCGGTAATAGAATAATCAGTCATGAATATTCGAGGTTATTTGACCTGCCCAGTGCAAACTACTGATAAGTTGAAGAACTTACGATTATGATTGTTTTAGTCACGCCTGATTGAGTTGAGTATATAGAAACAAAAATGATCATGTATAAGACATTTTTAAATCGTATAAATCGTGACGAGTGAAAATTAGCATGTCACGGTTGTTGACTTATTCTATCACGGCAGGAACTACGTGATACTCATCCACGTAATAAGATTCTCTTCTTTACGTAAAAGTACTGATATAATGAATTATATAAAATAGTCATCTTGACCCGAGCCCCGGGAATGTTCAATGAAAACAACGTACAGTCCTTGTACAAACGACCTATAAATATAATCATGTAATGTGCAATGAAAAATCAATGTCTTTTCCTGTGATCTCAACAAAGTGGTAAAATTCAAACTTGATCAATCTCCCAAAGCGATACTCAATCAAAGCAATGCGGTAAATGTGATTAAAACAAAATCAACCGATCGTAATACTATCAGTATAATGTGTGTCTAGAGGAAAATCGGATCATTGAGATCAGTAATTAAATTGATATCTACATGAGTTTATTGAACCCAAGTTCCCGGATCCGCTTAGGCAACATATATTATAATACTAGGATTTAAAATAAACACCGCCAATTACGTTCACCATCCAAAACATAATATGATCACTCATTGACTTTATATGTAAATCACTGGTGATCCGCTCGATTACGCTGGTTCGTTTCGGTAACAAAATGTCGGAACGTCGAAGGTACGATTTTTCTTTTTTGCTTATTTTTTCGCTCGTTGTAGGCAGAATCCCCACGATATTTTTTTTACTCCCCTCCATAAGTTTGGCAAACTTTGCTCCCCCATTGAACTACGTGTTAAAGCCTCTTTACCTTTGAATTTTTATTTACTGAACCTGCGGTGAAAATATTTATTCTATTGATAGAAACGTAATTTGACTTTATTTCTAATACCTCTAAATTTTCTCGATTTTTTTCCTCAATTACAATAGGTCGAAAATTGATGATAAATTTGATGAATTTTTAAAAATCGTCATTCTCATGTAAACCAATGGAAAATGGTGGGTTCGGGGCAAATCAGAAATAAGGATGTCTATTCAGTAAAAGATTCAGCAAAAAATATGTTTATATAGAGAATTGAATTGTCTAACTTTTTTGTACACTAAGTGTATAGATTATTTGATGAATACTAAAGTTACAGAG